TGAAATAGTTTGGATGTGTAATCTAAATCTCATATTGAAATATAATCCCCTATGTCGGAAATGGGCCCTGGTGGGGGTGACTGCACCGTAGGGGTGAATTTCTCATAAATAGTTTAGCACCAACCCCCTTGGTACTCCTCACGATAATGAGTGAGTTCTCATGAGATCTGTTCATTTAAAAGTGCATGACACCCCTTTTGCCCTAGCTGTCTCACTCCTGCTCTGGCCCTGTGATGACCCTGCTCCCTCTTTGCCTTCCATCATGATTGCAAATTTCCTGAGGCCTCCCCAGAAATCAAGCAGATGTCAGCATCATGCTTCCTGTAGAGCCTGTGGAATGGTAAGTCAATTAAACCTCTTTTCTTTATAAAATACCCAGTCTCAGGTGTTTCTTTACAGCAATGAGAGAACGGCCCAACACAGACCTGACACGGATGGTACACAATGAATCCTCATTAACTGAATGAACAAATGGCCCTACTCGAATGCAGAAATAAATGGGCCTGGAAGCTTCAGCTCATTTAAAGTGATCAGGTGTTCCTTCATTGTTTATTCTTTTATAGAACCACATCTTAACCTTTAAAGTTACTAATGTTTATGTTTTCGCCTTTTTTCTTTTCTCTCCCATCTACCAGATGACAAGGCCCATTTCCTTTTCATCTCTGTATCTCTTGAAGAGTGTTGTGTACAAAAAAGTGGTGGTTATTAAATGCTTACAGGAAATGTGCGTGGATTCTCTCACGTTCACTGCAGTGGACTTGTACTGTCAAAAGTAGTGTGCAGTTTTAAACGTGAACACTTTTACCCCTGCAAGAGGAAGATGACCTCTAGAAGGCCAGAATACAAAGGGAACGAAGTTGCTTAAGCACCCAGAGAGACAAGTACATCCAGCAAAGCATGCTCACCTCCTGGAGGGCACCCTCGCCATGATCACCTCCACAATCACACGGGATGTGGGAGCCTGTCTGCTGCCGCTGCTGTCTCTGAGACATAAGCCCAGGAAGCACGCCTCCTCAGCAGCCCACAGGACCCAGAAGGGCCTCTTGGACTCCTTTTCCTGCCTTCTAAGTCTAGGTTACACTGAGCAGGGCTAAACAATTGTAAAGAGATTATGCAGGGAGATTGAAAGCCTTTTAAAGTGGATGCATAGTGATTAGTGGTCTATTTGTTTGATTACAAAAACAGAAATCCAAAAGCCCTTCCATACCACTTTACTCCATGGCTTGACACAAGTACCTCCAGGGAGCCTGAGGTCTGATGCATCCCTGCCTGACTTCCTGCTTTCTCTGAGTCAAGGCCTCGCAGGCAGCACTCAGTGATGTAACCTTGGAAATGGTACAGCCCCATGGGCACAGTCATTTGCCTTTTGCATCAATTTATCTCCACCCCACCTGAATTAAAATCAATTCAAAGTCAGGGAAAACACACTACAATCCGTTTTGCTTACCCAGGACACCTGACATAGCTAACAAGAAGCAAGGTTACTTTAAATGTGCTTTGCTACCCTTTGTTTACAAAAAAGGGTAAATATTCCTAAAGCAACCCACAGTAACTACTTGGCATCCCAGCTGGGCATGGTGGCACGTGCCTATAATCCTAGCACTTTGGGAGGCCAAGGCGGGAGGATTGCTTGAGCCCAGGACTTCGAGGCTGCAGTGAGCTAGGATCATACCACTGCACTTCAGCCTGGGCCACAGAATAAGACCTTGATTCTATAAAGAGTTAAAAACCCAAAATTAATTGGCCTCCCCAAATCAAGCTTCTCTGGTGGCAACGACTGAAGTAGGAAGTAACAACTATCTTCACAGAAGGTCGAGGGTAATCCAAGGGTGAGGCCGTTTCTCTGCTGCTAGCTGGGCTGCCAAACGAATACCCAGTGCTACCGCGGTCAGACAAGTCAGTCAGACCTACTGTCTCTGAAAGTGAGTAAAATGTTATCCAAGTTTACGGTTATGCGTCTTGAGCAGTACCCCCTTAAACCTGCAGCCACTGTAAAGAAATGCCCTGCCTCCATGAGGCTCAGTCATCGACTTCTCCACGAACTCCCACTTCAACCAGGATGTGACCTTAATCTGGTCCCACTTTCAGCTGGTAAGTCAGCCAGGCATCACCACCACTGGAAGTCACAATGTGCCCCCTGCTGTTTGCCTGACACCCCGCGAGGTGCTTCCATGTGCATATTCTTATTTGCTCCTCACTACTGCTCTAAGAGGTGAGTGATATTCACCCTATTACACAGATAAAGAACCTGAGACCCAGAGAGGAGGAGCTGGCTGGTTCCAAACCCAGTGCCCGAGCTGCCCTTGCACAAGCCACTTGCCGTGGCGAGGCGACTCGGAGACAGCAACTCTGGCCCTCTGAGGGTAGTGCTCTGCTTTCACCCTCTGCAGAGCCTCAACAAGATGTTTTGTCAGCCTTAACAGGCTTGTTGCTGCCACCCAGAGGGATAAGAGAAATAGATGTGAAATGGATCTGGGTACATTCCAAGTCGGACCACACCCAGAGACTTGGGACTGGGAGGTAGAGGAAGTTACCAGCCTGATGACAACTAGCTGTTCTCTCCTGCCTCATAAGGAAAGAGGGAGCTGAGGAAGAGAGGAACTAGGAGAAGGAAGGGAAGGAAAAGATGGGAAGAAGAGGAAAAAGAAGGGTGGGAGAGGGAAGACAAGGAGCCAGAAAGGGAGGCCACAGGAAGGAAGGGGAGGAGAAAGAGATGCTTTGTGATGTGCTGTAGGTGAGACAGGAGGGAAAGCCTTCGGAGAAATCACGAAGCCAAGAGGCTGGGAACTGTCTATGGGCGATGTCCCGACCTGGGGGTCGAGTGCTGCCTCACAGAGGCAGGGCGATGGACAGCCAATGCCTCCCATCAATCCCCTCCACACCAAGCAGCAGCACTTCCCACGCAGTGGCACGGTGGTGAAAGGACTAGAGCCCAAGGAACTATGTGACCTGCAGCAAGGCACATCCCCTGTGAGCCTAGATTTTTCTAAAGAATAGGGGCAATACTGCTCACGCTGCCCACTGCACAGGGCGGAGTGGCAACGCTGTGAGGACCAATGACCATGAAGGGCAAGTGTAAGCCAAACTTAAAAGTGGCACTGGGGTCTAAGGCATCAGCAGGGGCCCAGGAACTGCTCCTGACGTCAGGTTTTCTGAAAGAGATGCCCAAGTCCACCAGCTCAGCAGTGACTTCTGAAAAAGACAGGAGAGTTCTAAAAGAACCAGATTCAATACCATAATTCAGTGAGTCCTCAGGGACCACAAATAAAAAGCTAAGTATACGTTTAAGTATGTTTCTAAAGAAAAACATTATGTTTCATCAATTCCATCTCTTATTGCCAAACTCTTCTATACTGTGTTTTCCTACTACTGAAAATCAGCCAATCCTGTCTATTATATCCTTCCAGATACATAGACGAAAAGTACAGAAAAGCAAAAGGAGTGAGACAATGGGGGCAAGTCCATCAGAAAGAAGTGTGGGAAGCTGCCGGTGCTCAGGGACAGCAGTTACCTCCATTCTGTCCCCGCTTGCTGCAGGCATCCACCGAAAAACGAGCCTGGCTGTGGCCCTCGGGCCCTGAGTAGCCCGCCGGTATGGATCAAGCAGCCCTGACATCATTTGGCATGTTCAAAACCACCTGATGGTCCCAATGGTTTTTCTCTTTTGTCCACGTTCTGTGGCCTCCAAACTGGCCCTCACCTCTACCTTCTAAAAGTAATCCCTCACTACTGTTGCACTGTCCCAGCCTAGGGACTGCAGCTAGCAGGGACCTTTGAGAGTACCTGGCCCAGAGCTGGGCATGGTGGCTCACGCCTGTAATCCCAGCACTTTGGGAAGCTGAGGAAGGCAGATCCCTTGAGCTCAGGCGTTTAAGACCAGCCTGGGCAACATAGCAAGACCCCATCTCAAAAAAAAAATAAAAGAGTGAGAGTACCTGGCCCAATCCCATCACTGGTCTTTAGCGCCCAGAGAGAAGAGCAAGACAAGAAAAGAGAAACAGCTTCAAAGCTAAACACTTCCCTAAGGCTATATCAATAGGCATTTCCTTGAACTTGGGTAAAGTACAATAAATGAGAAATGAGTCAGTAGGCAATCCATGACATGTACTCCATCACCTAGTGCAAACCTCTCATTATTTTTTAGTTGGATTCCAGTGGGCAGCCAGTGTCTCAGGGGAGGAGGCCAGGGCCCAGTAGTCTTCCTTTCTCCCCAGGGAACAGGCTTCAAAAATGAATATAAATTATCTAACCCACTCTTACTAATCTCACACAAAGCATTTTCAACTGAACATATTGGTATGGCACCCCTGGGATCCCCAGGGGGATGAATTCCCAGGTCTGGACTTCCATATTCACACATACAGACACAGGTTAGAGAGGAAGAGGGCAAGGGCTGGGAGCTCCTCTGTGAGGACCACCATTTATTGTGAAGAGGAAAAAGAAACATTACTAGAAAAAATATTCCGTGTTCCCTCCCTTCTCCCTCTATTTATAACAGCAAAGAAAGCAGAACTTCACCTTAGCTTAGGGGACGTGTGCCATCACTCGAACGATCTCAATCCGTGGCAGATGAGATCCAATGCAATAGCATCTTTGTGCCAAGGCCATCGAGCTGCTGCAAACCTTGGGGTGTGTGTCATGGCCTTTTGTGGGCCATGCGGAGCTCAGCCAGAGGCCTCTGGACCAAAGCAGACCTTCTCTCACAAGCAGTTTAATAGGACTTGGAAAATAGGCATTTATTTTCAACTAATGGGAAATAAATGCATGTGGCTCTGGGCCACCAGGCAGATAAAATCCCAATTTCATGGGCTACACCCCAAGGTTTGAAGCTCTTAAAAATGAAGAGGGAGCAACTCCATTGTTCATTTTTCCAGAGGCTGGGGCTTGTGTCCCCTCTGCCATTCAAAGCACTACTGGACTACTCTAGAGGAGGGGAATGGGCCTCCGGGGGCCTCCCATGCAAAGCCTAGGGGGGTGCCACAGAGGAACCAGATACCTACTGTTGGTCTTCATGCACATCTATCCTGCAGCACAATGTCAAAACAAGGGACAACTGAAGAGATTTGGAACAGAATCAGCACATTTCTCACAAGAGCAACACAAAAAGGAAAACAAACATCAAATGCATTCGAGAGCTGTCCCTCCCATTCATGTTCTTCAACCTTTCTCTAAGCCTTTTCAAAGGCAACTCAAGTTGGAAATGTTCTGGTGTGGCATGACAGCCACACTCACTGTCATAAAACCTGGCTGAGATTTGGCAAATCCAATTCCCTGAACGATCAGCCAGTGGAAGGGTGACGCTCCTGTGTGTCAGGATTTCCAATTCATTAACTTTTTCCTTAACAAAATGGGGAAGCCCGTGCAGAGCCATTCATGGAGGGCAGGCATGGGAAGGCGTGGCTCCCATCAGGCCCACCCCACTGGTCCTGGGGCTGTGTACGTGTGAATCGGGTTCCCTCCCTCCCTTCTCCCACCTTCACATCTCATGGGAAAGCAAGAGAGCCAGGTAGAGAAGAGACAAAAACAGCCAATGTTCATTCTTAAAAAAAAAAAAAAAAATGCTCCAGTGGTAGTTCATATTTAAAGGTGCTTTGTTATACCTAAACTGGAGACAGCATTGTAAAGCTTTCTACTTTCCTTCTTTAGGAAGTGGATTAAAAAATGAAGAAGGCTTACCCATTTTTGAAATAGAGGACATGGGCTCTCTGAAGTCCTGTTTCTAGGAAAAAACCTAGTTCTTGATCGTGGGGAGCAGGGCCAGGCTTAGGGCTTCTGTTTTGAATATTAGTAAGTATTACCTAGAAGGGGAGAAAATTGGAAAACTAATCAGATGCACATCCAAGCCTACTTCCTTCAAACCCTATGTCTAAATGCACTGCACAACTTAAAAAACCAACTTCCTCACACAAGTATCAGTGCAGAGGCACAGGTGTAGAAGTGCAAGCGCTGGAAAAGCAGAGAGAATGGTTCTACTAGACAGGAAGCCACCAAGCAACCCAAGGTCACACAGGGCCCTCCTGGTACTGAGAGCTGAGGAGTGAGGGGTGCTGATGAGCAGGTGGTGCCGGGAGAAGCACTAGAGATGGAGAGGCCCTGCTGAATGCCAGGATACCGGCAGGAAGGCTGAGCGACACAGAAGCAGGTCCTAGCAAAGGGGAGAAATAGTTGTGATCCACCAATGGCCAAGGTCACTAGCAGGCAGGCTGCAGCTGCAGCCCTGCATGAGCTTGATGAGTTCCAAGGTGAGCTGATGAGCGATTCGCATTAGCCCTGGAATCAACCAGAAAAAGGCAGACTTGCCAGGCTCCAGAGCCGAGGGACACTGCAGATTTGTAGCCTGGTGAGGGTGGACTGTGTAGCATCCTCTATTCTTAAGGGGAGAGCTGAGCAAAACACCCTCTCTCCCCAAACTTAGCTTCTTATCTTGTCAACAGATAATGGGGTTTTTTAAGGTTTGATTTTTTAGCCCTGCAAGAAAGACTGCCAACTAATCAGGAGAAAGACTTGCAAGTTGCATTGGGGATGCTGAAGCGTAAACATGTAGCTGCTACTCTCTTTCAACTCACAAGTTGGCGTTCTTATCCCCATTATATAGATTAGGGAAGCCTTCTCAGAGGGAAGCCTACTTGTGGCTCATGTAAAAACCATGCGAGTCTTCTCCAAACATGCTGTCCACATTTGCTGAAAGTCAGCAGCTCTTCAAAAGACACAGTTGTTTGCCAAATCCCAAATATCCTAGAGGTCTTGAAACCTCAGTCTCCAAACAGAGTTGAAGTAATTACTAGTTCCTGAACCCGCAAGCTTTGGGGAAAAGAAAAGTAGAAGGTACATGATAAACAAGACATTGAGGAATGAAACCCAGGTGGGCAACGCTTGCATGTGAACCAGACCCCAGCACCTCATAGAAATGCCCAGCTCTGTCCTGACTTAGCCCTCAGCTCTGCACCCCCAACTCTCCAGGGGTTCCTCCTCTCTGGGAACCTCATTTCCCTCCACTACAGGCTCCTCCTCCACCCATCCTTCAAGTGCTGGAGATGCACATGGTGCCTTCCGAGCCACGGTCCTTTCTCTCTTAGGTCTCTTGAGATGACTGCACCCATCCCTGTGAGCTTCAAAATCATCAGTATGTTGCCAACGCCCAAATTTATAACTCTAGTCAAGACTTTCTCTGTGAATTTCAGACTCATATATCCAACTGCTGCACTTGGAGGTCCAGCATGGAAACTTTTAAAAATCATCCTTCATTTGCTTTTCAGCAGAGTTTTAATTTTGACATGCCACGATTATTTTAAAGCAAAAAATTCAGTACAGCACAAAAAAGAAAATAAAAAAATCACCTCGCAATTCCATCATACAAAAATAACCACAGTTAACATTTATTGAACGACAATCCAGATATCTTTGTGGACACATGTATCAAGCAGAGAAAGATAAAAATCATTTTACAAAAAAATGAGATCATGTTATATATGCTAGTTTTAAATTTAAACTATTATATTTAATTTAGTTAAATTTAACAGAAGGAACTAAAGTGTAACCAAAGTTACACTTTACAAAGTTTGTCCCTCCTAATTATTTCTCAGCTATGTCTGTGACTACCCATTCCTACTACCATTACCTCATCCGAGCCGCCAGGACTTCCTGTTAGATTTCTGTAACAGCCTCTGAATGGACTTTCCACACCCTCTCTTGCTTCCCTATTTCCCTTCCACACTCTATAAGCAGCCTGAATTTTTTTTTCTTTTTGAGACAGGGTCTCATTCTGTCACCCAAGCTGGAGTGCAGTGGCATGATCATGGCTCCCTGTAGCCTCAGCCTCCCAGACTCAAACGATCCTCCCACCTCAGTCTCCCAAGTAGCTGGGACTACAGGTGTGTGCCACCATACTCGGCTAATTTTTGTATTTTTTGTAGAGACGAGGTTTCACCATGTTGTCCAGGCTGATCTTGCACTCCTGAGCTCAAGCGATCCAACTGCCTTGGCCTTCCAAAGTGCTGGGATTACAGGCATGAGCCACTGCGCCTGGCCCCTAAATAATTTTTTATAACCCAGTCCAGATCATGTTGCTCTTCAGCTCTTTTTCCTCTTTCTCATCTCTCAGATATCAGCTTGCTTCTTGCTTCCTCCGAAGGGCCTTTTCTAACAACCAGCATAAAGGAAGTCTGCCTTATTAGCCCGCCCACAGCATCCTTCCCTATTCCTTCACTGCACTTGGCATTGTATTTCTTTACTTGATTTCTGGCTGTCTCTCTCCACTGTGCTACAAATTCCACAAAGTCAGAGGCCACACCTGTTTTATTTACCCAGAGCCTACTGCAGTGTCTAGTGCAGCATAAGCATTCAATATACATAGTAAATGAATAAATGAATAAATTGTCAAGGCCAATCATAAAAGGCAACTGGAAAGTAACCCACTGCGTATTAGGCACCATGTGGGTACATGGCTACCTCATTTATTTCTCCACAAAACCCCACTGAGATACACACCATTATCCTCTCTTTACCGGAGGGGAAGCGGAGACTGCTCCACCAAGTGAGGTCCCTGAATCATGTGGCTTGAGAGTGGTGGAGCCGGTGCGGAAACCCAGGTCCCCATGACTCCACAGCCCGGCTCCTTCCCCTTCATCTGTGTCTGCTCACAGAGCAAAGTCCAAAACACAAGGGCAGCCAGGAGGAGGCTTACGGTTATAAATGGGAAGAATGGGAAGAATGGGAAGGACGCAGGAGAAGCCTCAGAGGGAATAGTATAGCTCAGGGCTTACCCTGAAGTCTAAGCATCTTGAACTTAATCTCTTCCTCACAAAGAGCCTCCAACACACGGGCCTGGGCAGGAGCATTGTTTGGCAGTGCTGAAGCCACCACTTGTTCTGTGGATAAACACTTCCAGCGAGAAGACTGCCAGCAGGCGTCCTTAGCAAGCGCAGCCGGCTCTGGCAGAAGCCAGCACCCAATGACCGAGGAAGCACAGGGGAAGCGGCCGAAGATTTTAGTCCAAAGACCCAGGTGCAATGTCTGGTTCTGACACTGCTCACCCCCCATTCGAGGACTTAGGACACCTCTGACCTCCCAGACCTTCACTGCCCTCATCTATATAATGGGGATAACGCCTGCCTCACACAGTTGATTTGAACTGCAAATGAGAAACCTCATGAGCAAATATTATACATTATGATACAAACATTATAATCCTTAATGGAGCTGCATCAACTTCATGAGTAGATATTATACATTATTGTACAAATAGTATAATCTTTAATGGAGATATATTGAAGAGTTACCTTTAAATAGAAGCAAAATAAAAATCTTTATTTCTTAACATTGTTTTATAAATTCTGGCAATAAGGCATGAGAGATATAAGATGGAAAATATTAGAAAGGAAGAAATAGGCCAGGCGTGGTGGCTCATGCTTGTAATTCCAGCACTATGGGAGGCCGAGGCGGGTGGATGGCCTGAGCTCAGGAGTTCGAGACCAGCCTGGCCAACATGGCAAAACCCTGTCTCTACTAAAAATACAAAAATTAGCCAGGTGTAGTGCCACGTGCCTATAGTCCCAGCTACTCAGTAGGCTGAGGCATGTGAATTACTTGACCTGGGAGGCAGAGGTTGCAGTGAGCCAAGATTGCGCCACTGCACTCCAGCCTAGGCGACAAAGCAAGACTGTCTCCAAAAAAAAAAAAAAGAGAGAAAGGAGGAAACCACAATGAAAATCATTCCACCACATAGATCCATAGGCTGCAATGAGCTATGTCCGCTAAGATTCTTTCAAAAGCATCAACTCTGTTTCTGTAGAAGAGTTCAGTATTGTGGACAATGACTGCCATCCTTGCCATCCTTGCCACTGCTATCCTTGGCAGCCTTCAAGACGCTGCTCAGGCGTCATCTCTTCTGGGAGACATCCCTGAACAACCACACTGGCCCAAAGCCGTTTCTGGAGCTCCCAGAGTTCTCTGAGCGTTCCCACCACAGCATTCCTCCTGGCTAAGGACGTTTGTCCTCATGAGCTTCTTATGGGCAGGCTCTGTGGCTTACCCATTCTAGTGCCCCTGCAGTCAGGCACTCAATACATGATTGTGCAAGTGAATTAAAACTTCACAGGCATTCTTATATGTTAAAATATAATTTCAAAAATGATCCAGGCCAGGCACGGTGGCTCATGCCTATAATCCCAACCCTTTAAGAGGCTGAGGTAGGTGGATTGCTTGAGACCAGGGATTTGAGACCAGCCTGGGCAACATGGTGAGACCCCCATCTCTACAAAAGTGTTAAAAATTAGCCAGGTGTGGTGGTGGGTACCTGCAGTCCAAGCTGCCGGGAAGGCTGAGGTGGGAGGATTGCTTGAGTCCAGGAGCTTGAGGTTGCAGTGGGCTACGATCATACCACTGCACTCCAGCCTGGGTGTCAGAGTGAGATGTTGTCTCAAAAAAAAAAAAAAAAAAAAAAAAGATTCTATTCACAAAGCAACAAAAATGGAAAACATCTGAGAATAAAACCACCTATTGGCCAGGTGTGGTGGCCCATGCCTGTAATCCCAACACTTTGGAAGGCCAAGGTGGGTACATTACTTGAGCTCAGGAGTTCGAGACCAGTCTGGGCAACAGAGGGAAACCTTGCCATTTAAAAAAAAAAATAAAATAAAAATAAAAAACTAAAATCTGTAGAACAAAAAGTCTTAACAAAATAGGAAGAGGGTCATAGATGACAGGAGGCTAAAAATATAATTCTCTAAATTAACGTATGGAATTAAGAATTCAACCGAATCCCACAAGGATTTTTCTTGAACTCATCAAAATTATTCTA